AAATTTTTGATATGTTGTAGAACTGATTTTTCTAAGACAGAAAAAAGTAGTTTGATCAAAAACTGAGCAACGGACTTGAATGAGATACAGATTTTTGAATATTTAAAAACTGGGGGAAAAGGGGCGTAACCGCCCATTTTTACACATTGTTTTACACATCGATGAATTAGATACTATATCACCATGCATTAAGAGTATTTTAACGTATAAATGTATCACACTTGCATTTTAAACCCCAAGATTCAAGATGGCATTTATTGTCATATACGAGCATTAGTTGTTCGCCCATCAACAAGAATAAGATGGTCAGGCAAGACCAAAATAATTTCTACAACATATCAAATTTTTTTTTTCCTCGGGAGTCTGACTTTAAAATACTCTTCATGCATGGTGGTATAGTATCTAATTCATCGACGAATCAACTACATCGTAGTAAAGCATTTGGGTGGTATATTAAACCTCAAGTAAGCAAAACTAAACGAAGTGCACATAACATTGTTAATTGACTATTAATTGCTATAAACATAGGTTTAGAATTGTTTATTTGTGATTTGCGTTGCCATTGATCTTACTTAATTAATGCATTACATAATAAAACTTGATCACTGATCTACTGATAACACTGGCCGACTGAGAGCGTATTTTTCTATCTGTATTATCACCTCATGAATATTACTGTAATTTTAATTAACACAAACAATTACAATAAAAATGGTTTATAAATTGAACTAAAAGGGAAACTATACATGCGAAAAACACGTGTTTTTTTTTCAAATTTTAATGCATTTTCAGGAAGCTTGGGTAGTTTTGGGCATTTTTTGCTGAATCTTGGGTAATTTCGACCCAGTCATTGGGTATATCAAAAATTGTGAGTGGTCACTCTGCTCCATAGCCTCCAGCGGTAATAATTCAATGGCAAAATACTCCAACCATGTCCAAACACATAACAGCCTTGTCGATGAGATTAACGGTCAAGGACTGTTCATCATTATACGGTCAAGCTCTGTTCATCATTATACGACTCAATTCGATACCAAGATAGAAGACAGACAAATACGATAATTAAGACCAGTGCTAACACGGAGACTGAAATACGTTTATCTTACAATACTTAGCATCAATAAAATTTAAAATGTCTTGGAATCAGCCTAATGGGATACCGCCGTTGGTAGGTCAAGCGAAAGGAAAGTTTGGAAAAAGATTCCGTAAATATGAATATGTTTTGGATCCGGACGTCACGTTTTGTAATAACGGAGCGTTCTCTGCAGTACCAAAACGAGTGCTCGAAGTGCAAGCCAGGTAGGGTTAAGATATTCAAATATGGGCCAGGAAAAGTTTAGGCCTATGGCAAATGTGGTATGTCACACCAAGGAGGTATTAGCATCCAATGTTGTTGGCCAGTTGAATTAGGAGTCAATCTCAGATAAAACTCATTTTTACATGCTCACCCCCTTAACACGGGGATGGGGTGTGGTAGTGGATTGATGTTGAGAGTATGATATTAGGATGTATAATATTTTTTTAACTGTTGTCACAGATTTAGATACATTCAAGAAACAGACCCAGAAGCCTGGTTTCGATATGAAGTCAAAAGAGAAATTGCAAACGCAACTGACAAAGTTGCGGAAATGTTCGGTTCGAATCCAGAAAACCTAATTCTAGTGGAAAATGCATCAACTGGTAAGATAAACTATAAAAACTCGAAGTATCTATCCATTACGCAATATAAAAATAGTTAATTAGTTTGACGATGATTTTTTGTTTTCACAGTCAGATAGTTGAATTACATAAAAAAAAAAACAATTACTGTAGTAGCCTTATGCAAATATGAGTTACATATAAAATCCCATTTATGTGTATTATAAGATATTATTGTTTTAATTGTAAGTCAGTATGTTGTTATTTTTGAATTTTTAGAAAGAACTTAAACATTAAAAAACATCACCAATTGAATCATGTACATTCGAATAAAAATAACACTGCATTGAATAATAAAATCTATGGAGGTCTAGCCATGTTTGAAAAATAATTAAATGAGGTTCATAATTTATATTTAGAAATGTGCCTTTTTTATAATACATTTTATTATATACTATACACCTCCATGATCCTTCAAATCTATTCACTTTATTATATTGTTGTTAAGATCTCATAATCCCTATTTATTATATACGAGGATAAAAATATTAGTAATAAAATCTACGACTTTTTTTGTATGTTTTCATCAAATTATGGCAGAAATTCATTTTAGGATGTGCACCTGCACGTTTTCAGCAACTGGCCTGATAACTTACACACCTTTCAGTGAATCAACAACATCAAAAATTGATAAAAATCGTCCCGTATATACCCATAGATAGTTTTCAAATGAACAGTTGTGTTGTTCAGAATATCTGACGTTTTAAATAAATTGATTTCATCGTCTTCAAGCACTAGAATAAAGATGAGATTCAATACTGTAATCAAATACAAATATACTGTCTCTTATACACATCTAGATGTGTATAAGAGACAGGTATTATCACCTCATGAATATTACT